GAGGCCGTACGACCTTGGGCTGAGCCCGGCTCTGGTGGCTCTTGAGCAGGAGGGGGTATGTTTTCTAAAGCTCCTGGGGAAAACCCAGAAGGAATATTGGGCTAATTGGGAGGAAGGTTGGTTTAAGGAATCCGTTTGGGCGGTGGGCAAGCTTTCCCGTTGCACGTGGGTGGATTGGATCTCAACGTTCCCCCGCAGCAGGAAAGATGGCTCTTAGTGGGTCTCTTCCCCAAAATCGTGGACAGCGTCTTGCTCTGGACGGCGGCTGGCTCGTCGCACCGCCGGCCTTGGCCTCGGCCCTGCTCCTGCTCGGGCGGCTCCAAACGGTGTCCAGGTAGCTGTTTATTTGGAAGGGCTGCTTACTTCCGAGTAGACAGGTTCAAGACTGGGCTGCAAAGAGCCGCGCGAACGGACTTCCTCAGCCGCCTCCTCTGTCATAAATCTGGGCCCTAGTGCGTGTGACACTTCTTGAAGTTGTGGGTCCCCCCCCAACTGCAAGGGTTATCTTCAAAAGAAGATTTGGTGTGGCTCCAAAAGGTGTCCAGGGTAGCAAGGCAGCACCTTGTTAACTTTGTGGTTACTGGATTTGTTTCTCCCTTTGTTTCCGTTTCACAGCTGGGGACGAACTATCCATGAAACCTCTTTAAGAGATAAGGTGGGGACCCAACATTTTAGCTGTGGGTAAGGCCCACGTTTGAGAAGAGATTCAGAACCAGTAGAGAAGAGCAATGAATATTAAGACAGGATGGAGCAACTTGTGGCGGTTCCCTCTGCCTGTGGTCTGGAAGACCCAAACCCTGCTTTAAGAAGAGGGTTTTTGTTTTTTGTTTTTTTTTGCTACATTAAGGCCTTGCCAAGATAAGCAGACAAACCCAGAATGAGAGCCAGTTGTAATCTTTTAACTATAAGCCTAGGAAACCTCTGGCCCATTGGGCCAGCTACAAGTTCTGGCATTCCCCATCTGGCCTGCCGGTTTCTTCTCCACGGTCCATCTCCTTTTCTCAGGAGTAGAGAAACTTTTATCTCTGATCAGCAGCTGAGACAGGTTCTCTTTGGACTCTGGCACAGCTGCTATGCGGCACCACAGATGTTTTTCCTGGAGGAATCCTTCCTTTGGAGCTAACAAATATTCCTCACACTTGGCATACTCTGTGTTAATAATTATAGAGTTTTTAAATAAGTCAACTGAGTGAGCAGTTCTTAAGCTTACATATACAGTACCTGTACTTGTATTTTATTTTTAAAGAGTAACCAATATTTAGCTAGAGTCCATCTGGCCATCTTGGTGGATTGGGCATCACCTGCTCCAAGGATGTGAAATTAAATTCCTGAAAAACAACCTTTACATTTTGGATGCACAAAGATATGTTGCTGAACAGGTCTTACAGTAGATATTGCCAGCAAGTAATATGTTCAGTGGTGATTAACTTATAAAAACAGGAACTGGTAGGTCAAAAAGGAAAATATGTTGTTGTAAGCCACCCAGAGACCAGAGTGGGCAGCATATAAGTTAAATAAATATATATTGTTGTTGTTTTGACTTATATACCACCTCATAGTTGGATAGCTGAGTATTTATAGCTGTTGGAACAGCTTTTGTCTTTTTTCAGGAGATTGGGTGATCACAACAAAACATGCTGATCACCCTATCTCCTGAAAAAAGACAAAAGCTGTTCCCACAGCTATAAATACTCAGCTATCCAACAAACAGCAACAGAGCATGGACAGAGTTCCTACTCCAGTCCTCTGAAGATGCTGGCCACAGAGACTGGTGAAACGTCAGGAAGAACAACCTTCAGAACACGGCCAAAGAGCCCAAAAAACCCACAACAACCAGGGGAAGGAATCCTCTTCCCTGCGTTTTTGCTCATTCATACATTTTGCTTGCTTTGCTGTGTCAGTATCACATCTACTCAGTCTCTTTACTCCCTTGGAAAGCTTTCTGGGAATAGACTCCTGGCTGTTGCTGGATTTCACTGTAAATATTCTCCAGTTGGTGTTTCAGTAAATCCTCCTTAAAATCGTGCTGGCTAATAGATTGGACTAGGTTTGGCCAGAAAAGCTCTCTGTTTGGGCCCAGTGAGTTATCTCTCAAATCCTTCCTTTCTCTTTAACAGGAAGGGAATAACCCATGCTTCAGAGCTACAATGACCAGACTTATAACCCACATCATGCCAGGATCACAACCCAGAACTCTTAGATAGCTCAGTGGATTAGACATCAGGAGCTCAATCCCCCACTGTGCTTCCTTAACAGGAGCTACATTCAAAGATCCCTTCCACAGTCCCTTTGAACTCTGAGATTCTAAGATTATTATTAGAAATGTGTCTGTCTTTTTAACAACTGCCAAAACAGCTGCGCTTCGGTTTCTCCTGCCCTCATTCGTCACTTAAGTAGCTGCACACCTGCTTGAGCGAGCAGCACCCCCATTTCCTCCTATGACTCTGAGTACACTTAGGCTGCTCCTTTCCTGTTCTGTAACACAAATTGTAATCATCACTAACTGCTGTTAGGGGAATTTCTGTAATACTGACAAGCAGTCCGTATTGTAAAATGCACCTGCATATGCATTAAATGTGCATATGCTCAAAGGTATGTTAATAGAGCTGGCCTTAAACGTTAGAGTTAGAGCACCTAATCCTGGACTTCAGGGTTGTTTTCTTCAGGTCTACCACTGACCCTGAGATCTCTAAACGGACCTTGGTGCCCCAAGAACACTCTCCCCTCCCTAGGATAAGAGACCAGCTTGATCAATCAACCCTTCAATCTCCCTGTTTATGGAATGATTGTGGCATCATTTGTGGCAGTTAAACTGCCAGATCGGCTTTTATAGTAACTTACATACAAACGCCTCTGAATATCTGTGTTCCTTCCTGTAGCTCTTGCAACCTTCTGTAAGCTATTGCCTGGAAAGAAAGGTCAGTGTCCTCTTGGGCATGGGCAGAGTAGAAGACTCAACCCATGAAGCTCCCATTATTGTTAACTTGCCGTTGTACAAATGAGAAATAAGCCCTAATGTTTTTGGTCGGGCTTGTGCAAAACAGAACTAGGTTATTTTGTACGATACTGCCAATCCCACCCCCACCCCCAACATGTGCAGGTGGGCTGTTGGCTGCGCAGTACAGGGCAACAGGGTTCTGGCTTTAGGATGATGTAAAGTGCCATCCTAGGTAAATAACTGTCCTTATTTTCCTGGCAGAAAGCCTGTCTCTGGATCTGGGGGTGAGAGTGGCAACAGATGCCTCTCCAATCCCAACACACCTTGGTTGGAAGCAAATCTGTGCCCCCTAAAACCACTCAGAAACATGATTCAGCCTAAAAACTTAGTGCATGCTTACCACCTGTCTTGTTTTCAAGTGAAAATGACTCTGTGTGTGTGTGTGCTGCTATAGCACCACAAAAATATGGCAGCACAACAGAGGCTATGGATGCTGATTAGGTACTGTGTGTGGAGTTCCCCTACAATATATTGCCTCCCCCCCTCATAGCCTTCTGTGACCACCCCAGAGAGGGAGGACATCTTTTCCAGAAGCACAAGTCTGGGATGGGTTGTTTAGTGCATGTCTTCTCTGATTCACTCTGTTATATCTAGGTTCTGAAAATGCTGATGTCCAGACCCAGCAGGAATGGCCTCTACACCCTTCAGAGAACATGCTGGTATGAAAAAATGTGACTTATCTGCATTATGTATGATCTTTGCAAGAAAGCAGAATCTTGATCTTCAGCTTGCTAGTTAAGTTCATGAATCTCGCCTTCCAAAATCATGACCAAGGGCACTGCATATGTTTCTGACTAGTGTGCTTTGGCAAATGCAGAAGGTTCTGATGTGCAAAGTAATTTCAAGGAGCAGTTGTTTAGCAGAAGAACTGCTGTACTGGTTAATTTAGTAACCTCTAGGTTCTCCTTTTGGTAAAGATAAGAAGGGGTGAGAGCATATGTTAATATAGGCAAGCTACAAGCTATGGGGAGTTCCTACATTTTCTTAGGTTATGAGAGGACATGATAGGTTATCTGCCTTCAGGTCGCTTCTGGCTTGGTAGATTTACTTCTCCATGTTGTTACCATATTGGCCCCTAAGAAGCTGAGTAGGTTCAAAAGGGTTATCTCCCTTAGACCAGTTGTGCTCGTGTTACTGCGATATCCAGTCTTTGAGTTAAAAAGAGATTTTAAAGGCAGGAATAATCCAAAGTAATTAAAGAACATGGCACTTCTCTTTGAGTTCCTTGCAACCTCCTTGTCATTCCAGCCTCTCTCTGTATCCTGTATCCACGTGAACAGTTTCAACCCCCACTTGGAGCTGATTGTAGCAGCGCTCGTCGGTCCCTGCTGTTGGTATTGCCCCAGTGCTAAGTAACAAGGAAGCCAGGAAAACTCTGCTGAACTTTCCTAAAGAGTATTTGTCTTGGCTCCTTGCCCCATTGTACACAAACTCTAATCTTATCTCCAAGTTCCTCCTTTCCCTTGGCTTCTGTCTAAGGGTGCACTCAGTTGGGGAGACCCCTTTTATTATGGGTATGTTCTCTCTGTCTCACCTTGAGTGAAGGCAGGAGTTAATGACTAATCAGCAGCTGAGCTGAGTCAAAGTCAAATGCCTGTGGTTCCAGCAGTGCCTCGAATCCTGCACATTAAGTCCAGAGTTTAGGCATATGCCCATAAAAACTATGCAAATTGTAAAGGAGGAGGAGGATTACCTTTCCCATGATCTTGCTTATCTTGTAGGAGTTGTGCCTGCTGTGTTTTGAGTTTGGAAATCCCGTCGAGGGGAGGGGAGGGAGAAGATAATGAGAAATAAGTGTGTGTTGCAGTGTCTAGAATTATTGCATTTGAGGACAATGAAGAGCAAGGATGAGGGACTTTGGACTCTTCAGGTGTTTTACACTTCAACTCCCAACACCCCTACCCAGCATGTTAAATTCTAAGGTACAATGGAAGTTGTATCCTCAAATACTTGGGAGTGGAGTGGAGCAGAGATTCCTCACCACTGGTGAAGCCCATCAAGGAGGTGAGTGGGCTGCTGTTGTTTTATCACATGAGAACCACCATCTAGTTCTAAGCCGTTAGGAGAAATTGTGAGCCTGTATTTCTAAACCTTAGAAGTCTAGAAATTCAGTTTATTCTAAATTCATAGTCAGTGTGTTCTTGAAAGAGCTTCAGAATTGCAGCACATTGTGAACTACATTTAAAAAAACCCACCTGCACATGCTTGAAATACCTGTCAAGGAACACAACAAATTACCTTGCCTTGGGCTGCTTGCCTGCCACAATGGCTATGTGCGGCAAGGATGCTCTGAAGGTAAGAGAGGGACTTATTAAATCAAGTTGTTTGGAAGCTGGAATTACAGCTGTATCTGATGTAATTCATGGTCTCCTCCCTTTTCTCCCCTCCTGACATAGCATGCAACCTGCAAGGGTTTTTTCCCCTGATGCATTATAGTATGTTTAAAAGAACATGGTGACATTTCTTGCTGGCTTCTTTGGGTGTGTTTCTTTCCTGCTCTTTGTAGAAATCCACCACACACACCGCAGATTCAGGAAGAACTCGCCTGCAATATAGAACTCGACCAGTTTGAAAATAGTTCAGCTGTCCTCACTTCCACCGGAGAACATGAGGATGAAAAGCATAGCTTGGAAAAGTCACTTTTCTAGATTAACAACTTTCTGCTATATCTAGTAAATATACAGTATTTTAAAAGTTGGGAGGATATTAATGATTTCATATTCGAGACCCTTGGGCCTTAAAGATGTCAAACAGCCTCACTGGATCAGCCAAAGGGTGATCTTGTTTGGCCTCCTGCTTCCAGCTGTGACCGCACAAAGCCACCACCACCCCCCCAAAAAAGGTCCACAGGCAGGGCGTGAGGACAGTGGGCAGAAACCCCAGCCTTGTTCAGAGATTCAGGCATCAGACACTACCCAGAGCCTTACTTTTAAGGACAGCTCTCAGGATCTCTCAACTAACTTTTTAAAGCTCTGCAAGGAACTCAAATACTCTATTTTGGCATCATGTTTAACAGGTATCAGTAAGATCCATTTGATGTATCAAATTCCTAATTAGTTTTAACTATGTTTAAAAGTCACCTATGTTAGTGATAGGACCTTTTGGAGGTCAATAATTTATAGGGTTGTCATAAGTCAGAAGCGCATAACAACAAGAAGATAGTGGGCCTCACATCATCTTGTCTTCAAGAAATCATGATTTAATCAATGTTCTCTCCTTGGGGGGGTGACGACGTTTTATCATCGTAAAGACCTCTCCTTAAGAGGTGGCAAGGAAATAATTGCAAAGGCATCCTCCTTAAGACAATGCTTTTTGTTACAGGCTGAAAGCCATGGCCTGGAGGACGTTGCCTCCAGCCTTCTTGGTCTGGACCCCCTGCCACTTCCATGGCACCTGGAACCACGCTGGTGGTGGCAGAAGACACAGGCAGTTCATGGCGGCAGCGGCAACAGCAGCGGGGGCTGGACTGGGCTTAGGCACGATCTGGGCGTATGGAAATCACCGCCAGAGGGTGAGTGGAGTACCTGGGGACTGTGCTAGGCTGCCAGCAAAGAAAGGGTTGAGGTGGGGGAATGTGTTTGGATTCTTGTCTAAAAATAAAACTTCCTGAAATGTTCATAACGAGTTTTTTAGGTTGCTTATTGAAGCAAACGGAGCATAATGGGTTGGATCCAGGTTTGATCAAAGTGCAACGGGACGGGTGGGAGCAGCGTTTGTGGTTCTGCCCTTCCCATGGCAGTCCATTCAAGCACGCAACCCTCCCCAAAAAAAGGCTGGAGGGGAAACCCTGCTGAATTAGAGTAGGCTGTAGTGCAGGGGGAGAAGAGGGGATCCCTGAAAAATGGGATACCACCTTTCATGAGTGGTGCTCCCTTCACAGAAGGTATTCCTGCCCCATTTCTAGGGATCCCTTTTTCTCTCCACTGCAGCCCTACCCCAGCCAGAGGAGAGGACCCTTGTCTCTGTACAACATTTATAAGGAAGCTGGAGAGTATGTTGTAGGGCAAAGGTGCCTTGGGAGTCTCCTTCCGTGCACTCAGTTGCATCCATCAAACTTGGATGGAACCCTGTTATCAAGGGAGAGTGATTCCAGTGTTGTTGTTGTTTTTTCACTTGTTGGTTTTTTTCCCCCCTGTCTTTTCCTTACAGGCAGCCAAGGCAGAGCCCATAGGGTCTACACCCAGCCTCCCATTTCCTGTCTATACCCGGCAGGAGGTGGCTCGCCATCATGACGAGGCCAGTCGGGTGTGGGTGACGTATGGCAGTGATGTGTTTGATGTCACAGATTTCATAGAGCTGCACCCTGGGGGGAAAAGCAAGATCCTTCTTGCGGCGGGGGGTGCTTTGGAACCCTTTTGGGCCCTCTATGCCATGCATAACCAGGAGCATGTGCTGGAGCTCCTTCATGGGTACAAAGTGGGGGTGCTGAGCCCCGAAGAGCCACCACAGCCAAACCCGGGGGACCCTTATGCCCAAGATCCACCCCGCCACCCTGCCCTTCGAGTCAACTCCCTGAAGCCTTTTAATGCAGAGCCACCTTCAGAGCTGATTGCCGAAAACTACCTGACTCCAAACGAGCTCTTCTTCAAACGCAACCATCTCCCCGTGCCAACTGTGGACCCCACAGCCTATGCCCTGTCTGTCCAAGGACCCTTTGGACAGATCCTCTCTCTGTCTCTGGAAGAGTTGAAGAAGAATTTTCCCAAGCACGAAGTGACCGCCACCTTGCAGTGCGCTGGCAATCGCCGGGCAGAGATGAATGCTGTCCAGAATACTAACAGGCTAGGCTGGGGCATTGGTGCAATTAGCAATGCCCGCTGGGGGGGTGCCCGGCTGCGTGACGTTCTGTTGCAGGCTGGCTACAAGCAAAGCGATGGAGGGCATGTCTGGTTTGAGGGGCTGGACCAGGACCAAAGCGGAACAGTCTACGGGGCCTCAATCCCATTTAAGAATGCCATGAACCCAGAAGGGGATGTCCTCTTGGCTTATGAGATGAATGGGGAGGAGCTGCCCCAAGACCATGGCTTCCCTCTTCGGGCAATTGTGCCTGGTGTCGTCGGTGCTCGTAATGTTAAATGGCTGGCCAGCATCACAGTGCGTCCAGAGGAAAGCCCGAGTCACTGGCAACAAAAGGATTATAAAGGTTTCTCCCCTGCGGTGACATGGGAGACGGTAGACTTTTCCAAGGCTCCAGCCATCCAAGACATGCCTGTCCAGTCGGCCATCACCGAGCCATGGCCTGAAGCCTGTGTTGAACCTGGGGAACTCACTGTCAAAGGCTACGCTTGGAGCGGAGGTGGGCGAAAGGTCATCCGTGTAGATGTTTCACTGGATGGTGGGAAGAGCTGGCACGAGGCCCAACTTCTCCCTGGAGAGGAGCAGTCGCCAAGCCGAGCGTGGGCGTGGCAGCTGTGGGAGCTGAATGTGTGCATCCCCGAGGGTACCAGGGAGATGGACATTGTTTGCAAAGCTGTGGACACCAGCTACAACCAGCAGCCCGACACAGTGCAGCCGATCTGGAATATCTTGGGAGTCCTCAACAGTGCTTGGCATCGGGTGCATGTCTGTGTGGGTGAGACAAAAGAAGATTGATAGCACCTGGTTAGCTGAAGAAAACAAGGAGCCTGGGTTTGGGCTGCTTTTCACTTTCTTCCTTTTGCAGGGCCATATCCTTGTGCTTCCAGATGAGGTGCTGAAATCCTCTGTGTGCGCTTACTCACTCACTGTTAGGTTCCGGGTTGTAAACATTCCTTAGCTTTTGTTTTCTTTTCGGGCTGGTGGTGGGCTCAGAGCAAGGGAATATAGATGCTTCTCCTGTCTCCATAAAGGAAGACGGGCTGCTTGGAAATAGTGAGACTGATGCCTTTTTTTAAGTGGGCTCCAGAGCTTCTTTCTAGTAGACAAATGTACATACATTTATTTATCGGACACGTTTTAGAGCATTGCGACTTTTTATGGATTTTTGGCTGCCGCTGAGCCGAGGCATCCAAACTTTTAATGCACAGGTTCCTCATGGTTTCGGGGAGTGTCATCCTTGTCATTACAACACCCTGCACTTCCGATGGCCTTTGAATGCTGACTTGCTTTAATCTTGCCAAATTAACTACAAGGCAAGGTTATTGCGCTCAAACTGTTTTATACCAGCACTTGGATAGCTAGTGGTTCTCTCACTGCAAGGCTGCAGCCGTAACAGTAAGAGAACCATTGGAGCTCTCCTTTCTGAAAGTCGCATTACCCTTGTGCTTCTATCTTAGACTCTAAATGCATAGAGGTGCTTTTACTACCACATATCTGAGCTCTCATGATTTTGAGAAGCCCCTTAACCACCTTTTATAACCAGTTATTCCTTCCCTTTTGATGTGAATAAGGGCATGACTCTTGAGCACCTTCAAACAGCTTTCCCACCAACCCCCCCCCCAGGTGCTCTCTAGAGTAGTTGGACTCCAATTGCCATCATCCCCTGGGTAGCGCAGTTGGTCACCATGCAGATAGGGAGGGATGAGGGGTTTGTAGTACAGCCCATCTGGAAGCTCCCCCCCCCCAGCTACTTTTTGGAAGACTGGGCAGAAGGAAGGATTTACATATGAGGAGCCCTTGGTGTTTCTTTGTGGGGCCCCCAGTTTATCCAGTGATCAGGAAAGTCTTGAAGGTCTGTTTGAGAAACACTGCTCCGAATGGAGTGTATTTGGCTGAGAAGTACTAATGAGAGACAGAGAAGGGCAAGAAGGTCCCAATGCCTAAACATATGAGTGAGCCTGGGGGAAAAGGAAGATTGACCATACATGGGGATAATAATGGAGGAGAGCTATACCATAGCAGGGCCCCCATGGGGTTAGGAAAGGCAGGGCTCGGTTGGAATTTCCTAGAACAGCGTGCCATATAGTTTGGGACGCTACTCAAAGCATCAGTGATTTTCCATGTTGGAATCTGCTTTTATCAGGGACAATTCTTTGTACTGTCTTGAACATTTGCTACTTTCTGTGCCCCTCTCATTACCCACTTTCAGTTGGTTTTTGTTTTTAAACAATATCTATTTGATTCTAATTGAATTTCTTTTTAGGGTGACTGGTTCAGTTAAAGTAATGTCATTCAAATGATGACATGTGTGTTATAAATCATAGGATCAAATGAATTGGAATGCTGGACTACTTTTTTTAAAAACCTGAGGTGATGAAACACTGTCACCTGTTTTTTAAAAAAAACACACTTATGGGGTACCAGATGAGTCTCCCTCAGAAGAACACACCACAGGTGGGACACTACCTCAGAAAAGGTTTCATCCTAGCCACTGCCCACAGCACCTCATCTGGGAGAGACACCTTAAAAAGTTGTGATAACCATCTTGGTGTGCAGCCAAACCTTCTTAGAAGTCAATGATCCTTTCTCTACCTGGTCCCAAGTTGTGAAGCTCGGTACCACTGTTCTGAACTACAGTGTGAACGAGAACTAGGATCCATCACATGAAGTTCCTTTAGTTTCCCTTTTTCCCTGCTGAAAGTTTTATGTTTGTTTTTAGTTTGTTTTTCAATTGTGGGACAGCCCCCCCCCCCAATTGTTGCTGCTTTCTACCAGATCATAATGTTGCCGTTGCATCTTTAAAAAGGCAGTGTTATGGCAGCTGTCCTGCAAGACAGCTTTGCTGCTGTGAGCCTGCGTGAGAAGTAGGTGGCAGGAGAGACCTCCCAGAATGAGTGAGGAGTTCACTTTCAGGTTTCTGGAGGGCTGGCAGGGTTTATTTGCTAGCTGCTGGTGTGGGAATGAGAGCATCCCTATATGATGCTGGGTGTCTTGGAAATTGTATACAGAAGCAAAACGTGGAGAGCTTGTGTGAACCGGAGGAGAGAGAGAGAGAGCTGTCCCCTCATATGTCTGTAGAAGAGGAAAAGGATAGGCAAGAAAGGAAGAGGTAGTGAAAGTTATAGAAAAATGAAGGAGTTATAAAGGCGGCAAAAGAGGGGGAGGAGGGGGAGAGAGGAAAAAGAAGGGAGATAGACGTTTTCTTAACATCGGAGGAGGGAGGAAAATCAGGGGAGATGAGAAAGGTAGGGGTGTTAGAAGAGGAATGGCAGGAGATAGAAGGAGAAGCGAGAGTGTTTAAGATACCCCAGAAGGAAGGATTGGTCTGTAAAAGTGGGGAACGCAAAGAAACAGTGATAAAAGGGGAAGAAGGAAAACTGATCATAGAAGGACTAGGACCAGAAGGACTAGGACCAGAAGCATGGACAGTCTTAGTGCGCCCTCAAGGACAGGGTCCTTGGAAGAAAGTGATCCGACCAGGACCAGTTCAGCTGAACGAGAAGCCACCCGAAGGAGACTGGTCTCATCATCCCTGCTGTGGGACGATGTGTGCGGTGAGGAGTGGCTGTTTGAGAAAGACCAGGAGCGATTCGGACAAACCTTCCGTTAAAGAAAAATAATTATGAAGAAACATTGCCCTTGTTATGGACAGATCTTCCTGTTGGTGTTGAACATGTTGACCCTATTGAGGTGGTTGTTGGTGAGAAATCACCAAGTTTTGTTAATAACGTACAGTTTGTACTCAAAGAACCTTCTGTCTTGTCGTTTCCCACCAAAAACAAGGAACTGTCAGACATCGACAAAGAACCAGATCACAGCTTAGTCAAATGACCAGAGTACAGATGGACTCTTTGCCCTATCAGCTTGCATGCAGTTTTCTTGCAAAACATGCCAGAGTGTGAGGATCAAATGTAGAGACATGGAGGAAAAAACTTTCTGGCCCACCTCTGTATTTGACATTTATTTTGGCATAGCTGTGCCTGCTTTTCTTGAGATGCACATGATGCAGTAGTTAAATATGCAGATGTCCACAATGATCACTGTTGACTTTGTTTTTCCTCCAACCCAATTTGTGTAACATCTCCAGCTTTTCTTGTATGTGTTCTTTCCCTTGCTGGCTATGGTGGGAAGTTTATTGATCTTGCTCAGTTCCCACCCTTTCAAAATGTTCTGTCTGTGCAGTGTTCTCAAGTGTTTACTGAAGAACGGAAAGAGTCCCTTCCTGTCTCCTCAACCCCATCACAAAGGTATTTTATTTATTCATTTACTAACACTACTGCAGGTGGTCTACATGATAAAATGACCTTGCACACTTCCAAGGGAAGTTTATTCTATAGGGATGGGGCCCTCACTGAGAAGGCCTGATTCCTCATTGACATCCTTCTCACCTCTCAGTGTGACAACCCTTAGTAGCAAAGCCTGGGAGATATGAGTGAAATGGGTAGTTCTTTTTTTAGAGGTGATGTCACGACAAGTATCAAGGTGCCAAACTGTTCAGGGCCATGTAGGTCAAAACCAACATCTTGAATTGGGCATGGAAACTGACAGGGAACCAGTGCAGGCGAGCCAGTATTGGGGTCATACAGGATGGTCAAATTTACTTACTCATTAAATCAGCCTGGCTGCCATGTTTTGGACCTGCTGGATTTTCTGTACCAAGGGCAGCCCCATGTAGAGAGCATTGCACTAATCTCTTTTTGAAGGACAACTGTTGTTATATTTTTATTTTGGTGGGGGCAGCAAGTATGCACACACGTGCTACTGGTAGTGGGAAAACAGGTATATTTGAAAAAGTATGCATTGTTTTTTTAACCTGTCCCCCAGCAGGTCAGGGAGTCTGCGAGCAGAGGGGTAGGGTTCCCCTTGGCACAGCAAGTAAGTAGCACTATGAGAGAAGGGAAATAAGATTGTCCTGGCTTTGTTGATCCCACATGGAGTGGGTGAGGGGGACATGTTAAGCCAGGGCCACAATTTGGGGCATCCCTTTAAAGTGCCTAGGCAGCTAGAACTGTTCTTGCCCTATAGTCAAAAGTCTGAAATTTAGCTGAAACGTGAGATTGTGGCATAGTCACTGGTACTGTGCAAATGAATCTGCAATACTATGCACACTAAGTGTCATGTTTTAGGCACAAGCCTTTATCTTTGGGGTGTGTGTGGAGAATTGGATGGGGGACTGCTGCTTTTTGCAAATCTAGTGAACATGGAGAGGGAGAGGGTGATTTGTTTCTCTAGCTTTTGGCAGCATTCGATTGCATGATGTCCTGCCACTTCTTTGCACCATCATTTGCCTCAGACACAATCTCTTGCTACTGAAATTATTTTATTCTACCTCTTCTTCCTTAGTGTGTTGCCTCAGCAAGACTCCATAACTTGTTTTGAGGAGTGACTGATAACATGTAATTCTTGTTGTCAAATTTATTTCATTTAACTTCCTTTGTTTAATTTCTTTCATTTCTGGCTTTCTAATTTTTATTTATAGCCCCGATTGATGTGTGTGAGGGAAACAGAGAGAACACTAGGCATTAAACTTATTTTGGGTCTGTGAATCCTGTCGTAAGTACAGCCTCCCAGTGTCCTTGGGATCAATGTCCCTGACTCCTAAGGTGCCTTTTTTGTTCTGCCTCAGTGCAAAGGAGTCTGGAACTAAGAGTTCTTGAGAGAGCACATCACACAGAAGAGCACCTGTCTCTCTGTCATGGAAACTATTAGCCTTACTTTGGCTAGGAACGTACTTATTCTGTTCTCTCTCAAAGAAGAGACTGAGCCAGCAACTCAGCATTCAGAATATTGTTTGTTCTGCTGTGTTACTGCTTCTGATGTGCTCCAGGAAATCTTGCTAGAGATTTGGTCTCCCACACGCTTATGGTATTAAGATATAGCAAAATATATTTCCTAAGTATCTCCAAGGATGATATACATTTTGTTTCATCCATGATAAGGATAAGCTATCTGAATCTTTAAGCCCAGGTAAAATATACTGTTTTATCCCCATCCTTGGACTCTTGACAAAAAGTTATTCCACATTTTAACCAGGAAACAGGATATGCATATATTAAAAATGTGTTCCACGGTAAGATGTAATACACTTGAGAAAGGAGACACACATCTGTTTGTTTGGAAGCTGGTGATGGTTTTCCTAATCCTGTTGCTTTCTCTGCCTGCACAGTCTGTTGCAAAATTATGCTAATCCTGTTCAGGTATGCTATATCTGTTGCTTTCAAAATTCATAGCTTGGGTAAACAACAACAACAACAATACAACTTCCAGACTATGGCAGTCTTCATAATGTTTCATATGGGGGAACGTAGTCCAGAAAACTAATGTTTCGAAGTTCTGTCTGAAGTTAAGTAGGCCTAATTGCATAGTGCCAAGCAGATAATGTGGAACCCCGGAGAGGAAAAAGAATAGAAGTGCTCAGGTTCTTCTTGTGTTCTGTATTTCAATTTCCTGTTTTCTCAGAGCTCACTAGGATCACAGGAGCAAAGCTAGCCTACTACCTCTTTCTAAACCAGCTCCTGTGCCTTTGAGAGTAGTGTGTGATGCACAAATTGAACAGATGATGTTTTCCCACTACTAATGCCAAGACTTGAGAATTCCACACTTTGCAGCCTAAGCTGAACAACAAGCACCGTTATACAAACTCTTGGAAAAGAGGTCAACAAACTGCCTCTGTGCCTGGTACAAGCCTGTTATCTCTCCAGAGAACAGAATTGGAAGGTTTGGCCGTTCATTGTCAAAGCAAATTTTGGAGTGAGGCACCAACTTGGGTTTAGACCATA